ATTTAGTTTTCCTTACAGATCAGTAACAATGCAAATAATTTATAAATTTTGTTTCGTTAAAGATATCCAATTATTCAAATGAACATAATTTTTATTATTTTCAAATAATTTTGAAAATTACTGTAATTGTAAAAATAATATTTTAATAATATTGTATTGTAAAGTAATCAATTGTTCAAAATTAACTTTTTTTACAATAAGTTTATTATTAAAAAATAACAAAAATGTACTAATTTCAAAGTTTAAAACTTCTAGCCCATTGAATTTAAAGTCAAAATAATGTAAATTCTGCTTCATATTTTTTTTATTTCTTTAAAAGCGTTGTGGGTTCGAATTTAATAAAATTTAGAAATAGGATTTTTCTTACAGTTTTCATTTTTATAAAAAAAGACTTAAATCTGTTGTAAATTTTCCACTAATATTAATTTCCAAGTGTAAATATATTTTAATACCCTCTAAATTTGAATTAGTAAAAATGTTTACAAATTTAAATAAGTGACTGACTTTTAGCTTTTAAATTAGTAAATTTTACTAATTAATTAGTGGAAATGACTATTTATTAGTAAAATTTACTAATTCAAAAGCAAAAAGTCAGTCACTAATTCAAATAAGTAAAAATTTTTACTAATTAAAATTTAGAGAGTAGTATAAATTAGTCGGTGTAAATATTTTAGACTTGTAGAAATTTACCAGTGTAAATATTTTGTACTAGTATAAATTTACCAGTGTAAATATTTTGTACTAGTATAAATTTACCAGTGTAAATATTTTTTACTAGTATAAATTTACCAGTGTAAATATTTTGTACTAGTATAAATTTACCAGTGTAAATATTTTGTACTAGTATAAATTTATCAGTGTAAATATTTTATACATAACATTTAATTATATTTATTTATACTGTATAATATATTTAATAAATTCAATATAATAATTCATCTCTAGAAATTCTAATTAAACTTATCACTCAGTGGTATGTGAATAAAACATTCTACACTGTTCTCCATTAATTTATCTTCTTTTTCCATTTTAAGGGAATAAAATTAATGTTAAAATTCAGAAAGAGTGATGCTATCTAATAAAGTTTATAAGAATGACATGATTTTACGCTTTGTATAAAGAGAAAAAGTGGGACTTTTTACATTTTTTTTTTTTAGTTATACACGCGTCCAAGGGAAAAGTACATATATAAATCTCCCTTGTTATGTTCTCGGTGAAGCGTTCATGGTTGGACGTAATTATTGGACTAAGCGGCACGCTTCATCCATTTTGAAACGAGCACTGGCTTTATAGGTGAGCCAATACATATACTCACAGTGTGCACTATACCTGGTATGTGCAAACTATATATGTATGTCTACCTATGCAACATGTCAGGACACGTGGTTTCCAACCTCAGGTTTGCCAACGGAACACTGATTTTCGCAATGTTCTCACAAATTTGATTTAACGCCAAACATTTTGATAATTGTGTTATTAGCCTTGATGTGTCTATAACGAAAAAAATCTATATAGCGAAGGAATTTTTTATTTTTATAATCATTCATTGTTTGTTTCGATTGTTTTTCTTTTTCTTTTCTTTTTTCTTCTTTTACTTTTCTGTTTTTCTTTTCCTTTTCTTTTTTTTCTTCTCTTAGTTTTCTTTTCTAAATATTATTTTTTATTTCAAAAATTGTTATTTTATTAATTAATAATTCAAAATCAAGTTTAATTAAACTACAAAACCATATAATGAAACTCAAAACTATATATATGTATAAATAGACCCAAGAGTATAGAGCTCGTTCAAGAGCTGCAAAAGCTAAAGTGATTTATAATAAGTCGTGTGATATTCATGCTTTATTAGCATGCTAAATGAATATGTATATATACTTTTAAGATAATAGTTTTGCAGTGTATATATATATGTAACTTTAAGGAGATTGATATGTGATGATAGAAAGTACAAAATTTTGTTCATCGGACTTTATTTTCTTGACTATTTTGCAGCAGTTTGCGTGCACTTTAATTTTTTTTTTATAATCTCAACTTGACATCAACTTATACTCGCTGCGTCGGCACGAAATCAGAGTCTTTCGTGTGTACTTACACCAGTCGCAGATTAAGAAGTTAAGTCCACATAATTTTCATTTTAACATTCACGTATATATACTTTCACTCCGTTTCTTAACCTGATCGATTAAGTAATGAAATTCACAGTCTCGTTATTCTTCTTTTCACGATTTCTATATAAGGTGTTTATATATTTATTTAGTGTTTATGGATTTCGAATAAAATCGAAGCACTTTTTTTTAATTTATCAAATTGAAACCAAATTTGTATCAAATTGAAACGAAATTGGTATCAAATTAAATCAAATTGATACCAAATTGGATGAAATTGATATTAAATTGGATGAAATTGATACCAAATTGGATGAAATTGATATCAAATTATATGAAATAGTTACCAAATTGCATCAAATACATACCAAAATTTTGATCAAATTGTAATCTAATTCAAATATTTGAATTCGTTGCTATTTGATACTTTTAAGTAAACAAATGATAAAAGTAAATGGAATAGAATAGAACAGGATAGAATAGTATGTAAAATGATAAAATAGAATTGATGTACAAATAGGAAGTAGCATCTATCTTTAAATATACACGACGATATATAAATTCGTCGCATTATAATCAAATATGCTTTCAATAAATCCAACCGTCGATTAAACTGATAATTTTTCCAATTCGATATATAATACATGCGCCATGTGATTTTACAGAGAGAAAATTTTAAACAAATCATTCCATAATTCATATTATAAGTGAAAGGACCTCCAATAAAGCGACTGTTATCGAGAGATTTATTATAAATTACCAATGTTACAGAGATTGAACACAGTTATACGATTTTATCAAAAACTTTCTATGTACCTTAGATTTAGAATAAATAATCTCAATAATAATATTTTGCATTATGTGAGTTATATTTGTATACTCAACGAATATATAATCATAATCTCAAGTCTATTGACCTTTAAGCAAAGAATTCTTGAGAATTGATCATTTTTTCACAATTTTATGATAAATTTTAATATCTATTTCTATCTTTTTAGAGAAGAATTATAAAAATCTGTTATTTTTTCATTAAATTCGCATATTTTTGGAGTAGGGGACATCTAATGTTTTTAAAGTTTTAAAGATTCAAATGAACCCCCCGATATTTTTGTTACTATACTTTCAATTTGTATTTTTAAAAAATATTTGCTTATGATTAGTAGAAAAATTAACTTTTTGTCTCAGTTAAATTTTTCACTGATTCAAATTTAGAGACAAAAAGTTAATTTTTCTGGGATTTAGAAGCAAGAAAAGTCAGGCACTAATTTAAATAATAATATTTCTACTGATCATTTAGTTGAGAATAAATGTTTCAGTAAATTGTTTTAACTGATTCAATAAGTCAAGTTTAACTAATTTATTTTCAGTTACTTTTTCGGCAAAAAGATTAGTAATTTTTTCATTGACAATTATTTTTAACTGATTTAGAAGCAAAAAATCAGTCAGTGATTTTCAGTTTAAATTTTTAAGTGATTCAAATTCAGAGAGTATAAACTTATATAGTTCAGATTATTTTTTCAGCAGGTACAGTATAATTTTTGAAAATATCTAAACAGAAAAAAATTTCTTTTCATTCAACTGTTCATAATTTTAGTGAAATATTTTTCTATAATAATCATATTTATTGTAAAAAAAATTATAGGGTTAATGGAAAATAATCTTCACCTACAACAACTATAAGTTTTGATCTTTCAAATGAAAACTATAAGTTTTACTGATGTATATATAGTTACGGAAATTTTTTGTTGTTTCACTAAAAATTTTGGGGAGAAACTTATCGCTGTTTTAGTTGAAGAATTTTTTTCTGCCTTTTTCCAGATTTATAAATATTAAATACTAGGAATTTTGATTTATTAGAATTACTCCTTTTTTTATTATTTACTTCTATGTAGTTTTTCTAAGGATATCAAATTGAGACAAAAAAAACGAATCAAAACGTTGCTATACGCATCACTTTTGATTCGCTTTTTGTCTCAATTTGATATTCTTTTCTATTCTATTCACACACTTAACTGTGTTTATATATTTTTCAGTTATGTTAAAAATTATTATTTACTACACTAGAGAATATTCTTGATTTTTAACATTAATTGTTTTTGCCATTTTCATTCTTGTTTTATTTTTATTACTTATTATCATTTAATGTTATACGATGCATTTGAAAATCTGCTTCTGGAGAAGAAGCGGACAGTTTTTAATTTTTTGATACTTCTAAACGATTTTTTCCTTTGTCATTTATACTAAATTTATAAACACAAAATGTATTGCTTGAGATATGAATTTATTGTTATAGTAGCTATAGTTTAATAGTTGTTAAAGTATAGTTACAGTTTAGTTGTAGTGTAGTCATAGTAGGCTTATAGTTTGTTACATCAGCTTATAGTTTGGTTATAGTATAGTTTCAGTTTAGTTATAGCACAGTTTTGCTTCAGTTAAGGTACAGCTACAATCACTGTAACCTGTTACTATCAAATTGCAACAAACTGATACCAAAAATGCGGACCTAATAAAAAATTGATGTAAATGTTTGACATCAATTTGATCCACTTTAGTATCAATTTGATACTTTCAAGAAAACTGTGATTTAGTTATAGTATAATTATAGTTCAGTTAAGGCACAGTTGCAGTTTATTTATAGTTATTTCAGTTATAGCATGGTTGTAGTTAAGTTATGGTGCAGTTGCATTTTCGTTATTGTTAAATTATCATAAAGTTGCAGTTTAGTTGTATAGTTCAGTTTCGGTACAGTTTAGTAAAGGCTCAGTTGCAATTTAGCTGAGGAACAGTTGCAATTTAGTTAAGGCACAGTTGCAATTAATTAAGGCACAGTTGTAATTTAGTTAAGGCACAGTTGCAATTTAGTTAGGGCACAGTTGCAATTCAGTTAGGGCAACTAACCTGTAAATTTGGTGATCCTCTGAAGGAGAACTGTGACATGATGTGTCGGCCTCTCAGGGCCGTGATATTCGAAAACCGTTACGCAATCATTGTTCCACTTGATCAATCGCTTTGTTTAATCACAAACACTAATAAAAACTATGATGGAAAAAGGAGCGAGGGTCACTATTATATATATATTTGTCTGCGCAGTTCCACTGAGATCCACTAATACAATACATCCACAAAAACAAAACAGGTGGCCTCTATCCAACCATTTAGTACTTGAATTTCCGACAAATACCGGCACACATTATCCAAAACACAAATCACTTATCAGTTTTCTTTTTTTTTAAAGAAAAGGGTTATTTTGAATTTTCAAGTTGAGCGAAGAGTTGTAGAGTACACTTTGAAAATAGATCCTCTGGATGTGGGTCCACTCTTTATTTTGAAATTTGGGTAATGATGAGATATTCAGGTTTAAAATTGTCGGGTGGAGTCCCTGGCTGATCCGATCGACGCGCCAGCTATGATCGGTCGCGACTATCGTCCTCCGAAACGTCGTTTCTTTTCGACGGAATCCAGTCCGGCCTCCGGCGAGGAGAGAGACGAAGAATGAGTGATATAGTGGGGTATGGAGGGAGTGAGAAGAGCAGAGTAGCGCTCTCTGAAAAGAGAGGGACAGACGAGTGTGAGGTTGAAGGGAGGATGAGAGTGAGAGTGAGTGAGTGAGAGAGAAAGCGTGCGCAATGATCAAGGGGACTTTGAGGAAAAGTGGAATAACATTTGGGAGAGTTGATGATTTTTCCTTTCTTGATTAGAATATTTGTTTAGAACATTTCGTTGTTAATGACACGAATAATGCACTCGCGAGACCGGAAGTGTCGGGAGCGATTTGTTGGCCGCCGCCGGTCCGTAGTTCTTACACGAGAGAGCACCTCCGGTTCCGTGGAGACTCTCGTGAAGGGCGCCAAGTACAAACTGGCGTGGCTCGTTGTCGACCGTGGCGCGGCGTGTAACGCGGTGGCACTTGTCCTCTCTCTCTCTTTCTCCGGCAGTGCTTCTCTGTCCACTGTCTCTCACTCTTTCCCTTTCTTTCTTTCGCTGGCTCCGTCTCCCTCTTGTGCTTTTTTCCGAGCTTGAAGGGGCGGCGCGGCAATCGGCTGAATACGGTTCGCGGTATGTTGCTTCTCTCGCACGTTGCCACCATGAACCTCTATCCCGCCTGCTCCTACTTGGAGTAAGAACGGAAAGAACCTAAATTTCCTCCACACGTTTGCTCCACACGATGACGGTTTGATCGGTAAACCAGTGTTCAGAAGCAAGATAGTGGTGGTGGTGCCAATGATGGTGGTAGTGACGCTGCCGCTGTTACTCTGAGTGGAGGTGGCAGTTGTCGCCGTGGTTCTTTTCCTTCCTGGGAAAAGGGGCTGATTTTTGCGAGATGGTTTGCCCTCTTCTGTCGGATGGGAGGGTCCAGAATGAACGGGTGGGGACTAGGGTGCCACCTCCAGCCACTGCTCCGCGCTTTACTCCCCCCTCTCTGTCTCTCTTTCTGTCACGCTTGCTTCTCCCTTCTCTCTGCTCTCACGTATACTGTATGCGCGTTTTCAGTCATCACGACATCCTCGTAGATCGAGAACGGAGCGGTTAGCACCGGCAAACGCGACAATAAAATATGGTGAGTTGGCCTGTGGGACCCCCCACTTGCGCCACCAATTTCTTCCCTCTTCGTTTTCAGATTTTCCAAAGGGGAGGGGATTTCATACAACACGGGGTTGAACGAGGGACAGAAGAGGGAAAAACTACACGACAATTTTAGTTCGATAGATCCCGAAGTTTAGCCGACGGCGGCGCTGCTTTACTTGCACCGCTGACTTCTTCCCAGTAGTTTGTTCAATGTCCCCTTCCAAGTTTATCCGCCTTTTGCCATTACTATGACTAATACTACTGCTCTTACCACAACTATAGTTATGACTACCACCACAACTATAGTTTACCACCACGTCTTCACAACCGCACTCCTCCCCTCCATCTTCATCCCTCTTTCTCTTTTGATAAGCGTCAACCACCTTTAACCCCTTCTCATCCACGCGACACTTAACCATCTCATCGTCAGACTCACTACTCTAATCTCTCTTTTTCAAAACATTCAAAGACAATTTTTTTCTCGCTAATTCTAAAAGCACCTACATTTTTGACAATTTTTTCTAAATTTCTAAATTTAAAGTTAATGATAGCTTTTCTAAAAGTAGTACTAGTTAGATCGCTAATTCCAAAAAGGAATTAGGAACTTTTTTTCAAAAGGGATGGAGATTCAAAAGGAATGCAGATTCGATATTTTTGTCAAAAAATACACATAGAGCTGCCGATTGCGGAAAGCCGATGAGAGGAGGGAAAGTGGCGACATAAAACGAAGGAAGAAGAAGCCGGCGGACGGATAAATATCCCTTCCACAATTCTTTTTAGTGTTCTCCTCCCCCCCACCCTCCCACCATCCCAGTGGGACGACTATGGAACTTTGCTTTTTTCCCCTCCGTGGGCGCGAACAAAATTAGTCACGCCTTCTGACGCGCCTCCACCTCCAGCCACGAGTGTCTCAGTCGACCCACCTCTAACTGCTGCGAGCACAAGTCGGTGCTACTACTTGGCGATTTTGCTCGACGCGACGACGACGACGACCACGACATACCGAGTAGGAGAAGGAGAAGAGGCACACCGAGATGTGAAACATTAGTGTACCGTTTGTTAACACCGTAGTCTACACACTGCCTTCAAGAGGGCGAGAGTATATGGTTTCAGAGTGTGAGTGTGCGCGTGAGCGTGAATGCTGAACTCCTTCCCTTTGTGTGTGTGTGTGTGTGTGTTAGAGTTTGAGGTCGTAAAGACTGGTTACATAAAGGTGTATGTATAAATGTGTAGGTGAATAAACGTGTCCGTGTGTAAATGTGCACATGTAGAACTGTGTCGATGTGTAAATGTGTAAATGTGTCCATGTGCACATGTATTACTGTGTCCATGTGCACATGTGTAAATGTATCCAAGTGTAAATGTGCACAAGTGCACATGTGTATGTCTACAAGCGTCTAGGTGTATGTGGGGAGTTTTAGAGCTGTGAATGTGTGCTACATGCACAACTATATATCGATGTGCTTTAACACGAATGTGCATGTTGAGTTACACCGCACGTATGTTCATGGGTAATACTCTTACTTGGCTTGCCACACACCCTATACTGTTCAGCTTTCTCAGAACGACTTGCCGAAAATTTGTATGGACTAAGAGAGGAAATATATTTCTCATGTAATGGGGCTTGCGAATTTTCAACGAATAACAAGATGAACGCCATAGCTTTGATGTATTAAATTTGCTTTACAAAATTTTCCGTACACTAAATTTGTCTTAGAACAATTTTTGTATAATAAATTTTTCATATACTTAAATCGTCACGAAGAAAAAAAATTTGGGCTATTTTAGCTTATTATTAGTTTGTGTTAGCTAACTCAATTCATAGTTTTGTTGAAAGTATCAAATTGAGACAAAAAAAACGAATCAAAAGTGTTGCGAAACAATGTTTCAAATCCAAATTTTTTTGGTGTCAATTCGTTGCAGTTTGATATACTTTTAAGTTAACAGTGTTGCTGATCTACTCTCTAAATCTAAGTCGCAGTTAAAATTAAAAATTATTAAAAATTTATCTGATGAGGATTTAGAGGGTAAATAAAAATTTTTGTTCTCAGATAGAGTGCTTAACTTTGCTCTTTAATGGTTTTTGAAATTTCTTGTACCGAATTCACTTTAGATAATAGTTTGTAGTAAATCTTTACAAAATTTCACTTTCAATATTCTATATGCGCAAGATTTTAGATACATTTCCCATGAACTTTTAGTTTCCTGATAATTCTGTTCTAGTGATAATGGAATTTTCTTTTCAAGTGCGAAAGTTGTTGACTTATTTGTTTCTTCTGCGATTATATTCTGAAGGAGTTGAAAATTTCTAATTCAGACGCTTTATGTGTCTGACTATTAACTACTGTTATCACTGCGTTGATCTTGACTACTTTCCATAGAAACTGATCTCTACGAATTTGAGTAGTACTACTTATTTCAATCATCTCGGTAAATTTAAATTAATACTTGAATTTCAAATAATTGACATGAATTAATTAAAATTAGTAAAAATGTTTTACTGACAGTTAGTAAAGTTTCTGAATTTATTTTGTACCGCAGTGATTTCAAATTATCGAATATGTGCAAATTGAGTAAAATATCGTTGATTTAGTGAAAATTCACTAATTTGGAACGTATGTTCACGCTTTTGCATGAATAGCTAATAATTAGCAATGACAGCTAGTAATTAGCTATGGCAGCTATCAATTAGCTTTTGCAGCAAAAAAATTACAATCACTTACAGTTTAAACGTGTTTTCTTAATTTCAACTTACTTTTGGGTTCAAAATAAAAATAAGCCAACTTTAGGTCTTGAAATTAGTTTTCCAGTCGTAAATTAAGACAATATTTAGTCTAATTTAAATTGTTTCAGCCGAAATCGGACTAAAGAGAACAAAATCTATTTTTTACAGTGTGTCAATAATTGACAGTATTAGCAAAAAATCGCTATCAACCGACGGCGAAAAATAAAATTCTTCTCCGGCGGTATAAAAGAAAGATATTTTCATTTTCTTTCTTTAACGCTTTTTCGATTAATAAAACACCATTTTTCCTAATCCGAAATTAAGTCAAATAATTTCAATAACAATAAAATATTCCCTGTATAAAAATTCAACTTAAAAAACATATTTTCCCCACTTTCTTAAAACTAGAAATTGATTACAAAAAAAAGAACCAAAAACATAAATTCTTTTTCACAATTGATTTTCATTTGAGTTAGAATTATATATATATTTTCCGAGGAAGCAATTTCTTCAGCATATATGATGATCGGTGAAACGTTGTGAGGCGACTGCAAAACCAGACACGGTCAATGGCTAGTTTCAATTTCCAAGGACGCAGGAACTTGGGAGAAAAATTCTCGCTCAGATGGCAGCACATTTCGAGCACAGAGAGAAAAAGAACGAGAGAGAGGGAGGGAGGGTTTTCTCTCTCTCTCTCTCCTTTTTTTTTAAATTGTCAGCAAAAAGTGGGGATGAGCGTAAGAATTCTATATAGTGTGGAAGGAGAAATCGCAATCCCCACTCAAAAATCCTCCCCTTTAACGGAAAAAAAGGAACTTAGGGGAAGGTACTGTAACTGCACAATATGTGCGGTATTGAAAAAAACCGCGTTGAAAAATTTGCTGGAAACGATTACTTTTCAATAGACCATTTGCAGCCATTAACAACAAGGAAGTATCTTTATCGTTGCTCAGGGAAATTTGTTTATCTTTCAATTTATATTAATTAAAGAAAATTGTCAAATGAAGAACATTTAAGAATATTTGATATAAATTACGAACGTAAATTGTAAAAAATTTTGAAGAATATTTATTATTAAGAATAAGAAGAAGAATGTTTGTTAGAGAAAAAGTGCATTAAGAAAAAAGGTGTGAGAAAAAGTTGTGGAAAGTTTAAAAATGTATATACGTCAATTTACACTGTATAGGGCACATGCACTTGGTCATAAATCAAATTGGGGATGGTTATGGGAGCTGAGACAAGAAGGCAAGTGAAGAAGAGGTTAGATGTACTACTTATCCAGTAAAGTAGATCGCAGCTAAGGAGAGTGATGTAAACTTAGGTAATTAATCTTGCCAGATTGATTGCTAGTCTTTCTTGCCATAAATTACTTTATAAAGAGCCACGGTATAATTAATACGCACAGTGGATGCCTGTCGTTGTCTCATGAGCAATGACGTAATCTGCGACTCCATTCGGGGATTCACTATTATCGATACTACAACCTTGAAGCGAATCAATACTCCACCAATAATAATAATTCAAGGCAAGCTACTAAAGCTCCAAATGGCAGCTTTGGTGTTATGGCGAGAGGCTCTACTTGTAGAATAACTGACTAACTGAAATAACTGAATTAACTTATCGACTAAATAACTAATTAGGTAATTATTCGACTAAATAAGTAGGTAATTAACTAAAGAACTAACTAATTAACTGACTAAATAGGTACACAGAAAAAAGGATAATCTAATTTTAAGAAGCGCCTATACGTAAATAGGAGCCAAAAATATTCCCTACTTAAATTAAGTGGCCCCACTTTTTTCCTTATAAATTTTTTTCGTGAAATAAATTTTCTTTGGATCAAATAAATTAAAAAAAAATTTTATTTACGTCAAAAGAAATTTATTTATACGAAATAAAACTTTAATTTGAAACAAATACACACTGTAAAAAATATATCTTACTCTCTAAATTTGAATCAGTTAAAAATAACT